ATCCATCCATCCATCCATCCATCCATCCATCCATCCATCCATCCATCCATCCATCCATCCATCCATCCATCCTCTGCTGTTTTTCTGAAGTTTGATGGCCAGTTTTTGAGTTTATTTGGGAGAACTTAAATCTTAAGACACGCCATCTGAGTTGATTGGCTTTAATTGTTTAAAAACTGACAAAATAATGAAATATTTTGCCTAAATCATTGGATACAAGTATTTTTTATGAAATACTTGACATAGCATTCCTTGAAGAAATGTGTTTTGCCTACTTCCTTGCATGCCGCAATTAGAAACAAAGTTCTCACATGATTCTGTTGGTGCTCAATCAGAGTCAAAGCTCAGGAGTTCTTTATTTTTTACACATGTTAATATATTTTATTAAGTAATTTTAAGAGGACCACTGGTTGGAGGAGAGCTTAACAGTTTAAATTCAAAGTCGATGCTGAGCGGTTTTATACTGAGCTGAGGAAGTTGTGACTCTCAGACAGGAAGAAGGCCAGAGACAAATCAAATGGCCACACACAAGAAGTTAAAACATGATGTTCAGAACCCCAGAGCAGGCTGAAAAACATTTTTTTTAGCTGAAGCCATAAGGGACTGGACAGGTATCAGGTATGCAGCCTGGTTAGCCATGGAGACCAGCAAACAAGAAATGCATACTAAGAGCTTTCAAATAAAAGACTGAAACAATAAAAAGTACAGTTCTGATGATTTGAATAATGCATAAGATAAAGTTCCTGCTCATATTTCTTTAAAGTCATCGGTTAAAAGGCTTAAATTTTCACTGCTCAAACTGTGACACTGGTGTTTTAAGGAAATCCCAGAGGATGGCTGGTTTGTTTGGGAAGCCTTCGGCAAAGCCTCCGAATAAAGAAGAAAGTCTTTCTGTGACCACTGAGTGTAAAGATGATCAGATACAAACGTATAACTGTGCTGTGAATGAATCCACAAGACAAAGAGGGAAATAAAAAGGAAGGAAACAGAATCGAAGAATAATGAGCTTCTAATGAATTTGAATATTCTACTGCTCCAAACAAGCCTGAGGCATTCCAAATCAGTTGGTCATCCTTTTGATCATTTTGAATAATTAGCAGATCATTAACTAGCTTGATTGATATATGTAATAGAAATAATACTTTTATGTTTAAGCAAGTAATTCATGACATCCTTTAATGACCTAGATTTTCCTGACATGCTGTTCATCTGCAGACAGAATGATTAAAGTCAGAACAAGGTCTGCTAACAACAATAATCATTCTTAGATATCACTTGTGTTTATCTTTGTGTTTTCCATTGACCTTGTATCAAATCTTGCTAAGATGACAGAATGGTGTTTGTTAACATATATATGAGGCCTCTGGAGACACAGAGTGCAACAGAGTTAGACAGTGAGCAGTGTGGAGAGACTGACAGAGAGACACAGAGACAGGCCAC